TTCCAGGTATTTCCAGGTAACCTGATAAAAGTGAATTATCTCTCTCTGTCTTTATTCTGGATGTATTCTTTTCATTTAATATACAACATTAATGACATAAATCGGTTATTGTGTATTAGTTTTTTATTAAATAGTAATAATTAGTAAAGAAAAGGTTCATGTTTATTCATCCATTAAATACTACAATCAATAATCAATCAATAGTTCCCCAACGTCACAAACACGTCATTACATTAGCATCGCAGAAGCTAACAGTTCCTGATTAAACATTTATTGATTATAAATGATTATAAATGATTATAATTGATTATAAATGATTGAAGCTAACGGGGCTAACATCAGTGAGCTAACAATGTTTGAAGAAAGAACAGAAACAGTGAAGAGTCTGAACTCACCTGCAGGTTCTATATTATGGTCTGTCTCTGTATATATGATATATAATATAATATATATAAAATATAATATATATAAAATATAAATCTACTGTTTCTGTGTCCGCTGCTGTTGTTTACTTCCGCTTTTCTTCTTCTACGGTCAATACGTCACCCCGGCGCTTCTACCGCCACCCGGAGGAGAAGAAGAAGAAGGTGTTCAAATGTTCAATGAAGCTGCTGAAATTATTGATTATTATTGATTTATTTGTGCTAAAAGATTCAATAATATATTAATAATGAGGTTGATATAAATAAAATAATTAATAAATTCATTGACTAATTGAGATTGTGTTTTCATTATGATGCAATTTAAAGTTTTAAATAAAGTTTTTACACAACAACAATAATAATTATATATAATTATATATAATATTAGTTGAGGTGTATTGTGGATCTGGAATGTCCTTTACTGTCTCGTGTGGACCAGAACCAGAACAAACTCGCTGAAAGATGAAAGATGCTGCAAATATTTCTACTTTAAGTACTTTAAATACATACTTTTTGCATTTAAAACTTTTACTAAAGTAAAGTTTTAAATGCAGTACTTTTACTGGAGTACAGTGAGTACTTCAACTTCCTGTTTTAAATGTGTGAAATTGTTAGTTTATCTTTGGTTTTTCAAAGTAAAAGTCTGATATTGACAGAAACAGAAGATTATAATATTTTACTTATTTAATTAATGAGTAAATAATGAAAGTGAACAAATGAAATGAAAGGAAGCAGATGATTCAGGGGCAGAAACCGGCAGCAGTGTCTCAGTGATGGAACCAGTTTGAAGAAGCTTCATGCTAATTGTTTACTGGTTAACTGGGAGACGTTTGACTTTACAAGCTGACAAGGAGACGTCACATGTGGACAGGTTCTGTTTGTCTGAAACTGAAACTGTTAAAGTGTGCAACATCTGGTAATGCAGATGTAATAGATTACATTCTCTGATTACACTGTAACACACGACCATATTAGGTGCTATCTCTTAAATTCTCAGTGAAGTGTACAGAGTTGGGTGCAGGATCAGGACAATGATTTAAATTCTGATTTTACATGCATCCTCAGCTCTTTTTTAAAGTTTTTATGCTGCCAACAAACATCAGGAACTGAACTGAAACTTTTACAGTGTGCGACATCTGGTAATGCCCTATTATTTAAACAGAGTTTGGTGGGAGGAGAGTTGTGCTTGGTGATGTTTACAGTTCTGTTTTTAAGGCCTTTTTTAAAGTGTCTCATATGTGTTTTTATACAGTAAACTGACAGATGCTGATATGTTGCAATATCTGTAAAATGCTCAGGACTTTGAACAGAGTTTGGTCAGTGGAGTTGTGCAACCTTCTGTGTTTTAAAGATTTTTCACATTTCTCTCTATAGGATCCGCCTGGTTTCTTACCTGCAGGCAGTGTTAAGGTGTGGTGGCTGCTCAGCCAGTCAGAGCCCACCAGCTGGACCCGTGAGTCAGGTCCTATGGGGCCCTCAGGGGCCACTGTAGACGGCGGGAGGCTGGCTGCGATTGGCTGCTTGCTGTGTATAAAAGTGGTGGAGGTGAAGTCCTCATTCTCACTTTTCCTCCTGAAGGTCTGCAGATACCACAGACACAGTAAGAGACCCTTTAATTTGAACCTGTTGTAACCTGATTGGTTGATTCCAGACTGTTTATTTGCTTATGTTCTATATTCTGTGAAGTTATGGGTAAAGAAAAGATTCACCTGAACATCGTGGTCATCGGCCATGTGGATTCTGGGAAATCGACCACAACGGGTCATCTGATCTACAAACTGGGAGGAATCGACAAGAGGACGCTGGAGAAGTACGAGAAGGAGGCGAATGAAGTCAGTACTACTACTACTGCAGTACTACAGTACTATGTTTAGTACTACATGCTAACAGATAATCTTAGTTGATATTCAGTGAAGCTAGACTACATGCTAATATTTTAACACAGTTTATATTCAGTGATGCTAGGCTAAACGCTAACAGTAATACTGCACTACTACTACTACTACTACTACTGCAGTACAGTGCATACCATGATTTCAAGTGAACTGGTTGTGGTATTACTACAGTAATTTGCAGTAATCGATTATTTTTAGTATTTTATTTTATTTTATTTAGTAATTCGATCCCCGGCTCCTCCTGCA